AGGGAGGCATTCATTTGGGTAAATACTCACAGTTTCATTGTTTTCTGCAATTAATTAGCTTAAGCAAACCGTCACTATGTAGACCTCGTAACGTTGAAGAAGCTGCCTTTGTGAAAGCTACTGGAGTGTTTTGTTTTCAATCTCTGTGTAATAAGCTTACATTAACACCCTTTACTGGACTGGCTTATGAGTGTGTCACCTCCCTGAAAGTAAATTTGATTAAGTTCTAAATACAGATTGAAGCAGCTCCTATTTCCACACCAAGTAACCTTAGTGTAATATATCAATAAATATTGTGGAGGCCAATGACATGTTCAGTAATGACAGAGTAAACAATGAAATGATACACACACACACACACACACACACACACACACACACACACAAAAATGCTGCCGTGCTTTCCTCCGTCTGTCCTGGATCTGCCTATGAAAGCCAAAACACACACTGCAGGTGAGCAGCCTTGTCAAACAATTCTGAAACTTCCTTTTTTTCGGATAAGCCAGCAGTTCAACCACGACTCCAAGGTACGACATCCAACTCATTAGACAGAGATTAAAACAGAGAACATCTGTAATTTACTTAACCAATCAGGGGGTAATAAGTACGCTCTTTTAAGCACTCACATTACTTAAACTAACCGTTAATGGAGATAGGAGCAATGGTATTTGGCATTTCGACACAAAATGGCCTCATGCAGCTGTGTCACTGAAGCACCTCTCACCAGCATGATACAAAACTGCTAAGTGATCAAGTGCAGGCTACCTCACATGAAGTCTGCCCAGGTTAAAGCTTACAAAAAGAGGTAAAAGAGAAGTAGCACTGCACCGAAGCAGGCGCTTACTTCCTCAATGCTCTGCCACTGCAACAAGAAGTGAGACTACCTGTGTTAAGTTGGTTCCTCTTCCCTTTGCTCTTTACTGCAGTTAGTGATAGCTCTGCTGCGTTGAATAACAAAGTGCAGAGCAAACACACGTTTGATTTGCTGTGCGTTTGTCTGACTTCCATTACAAATAAATTAAGCACATTCAGAGTGGACTAAGCGAATACATTCCTAGGCTCTCAAGATACCTGCGGGTGTCTGGAGAGCTTCTTTTTCGAAATATATCAGAAGTTTTGTTTTAAAGTAACGGTCCACATTCACAGTGAGCCAAAATGACTAAAGGCTCACCAAAGAAATGCTGCTAATATTGATGCGTAAATAACACAATGCATCAGAAACACCCCAACAGATTCTGACCCAATATTCATTCTTTATTAATATTATCAGCTAGATGACTAAATGACTATTTATATTATATTCACTGCCACCATTGTCAAAGTGCATATGCGACACTGTCATGTCAGAAAACAAACTAAATGTTCACAGATTGCTGCAGACTGCTAGTATAAAGTCAAGTATTATATTCATCTTATTGCCTTGCTGGACTTTTCTTAATCATACATGACCGTACGGCCATCTTTCAATTTCAAACACAGACTGCTGTGATGCAAGTTCAGCATACAATACGCTGGTAATGCATTGTTTTGAAATCAGTAGCCCTTGTAGTTGTGGTGAGCCCCCTGCCATGCTCCTAATGATCACAGCATATGCCAGCTAAAACAGCTTAGCTTGAAGTCTTTAATTCCTGCACTGCTGTTTAGTTTGTATTGTCTTATCAACACACTCTACAGCCCTTTAGACTATACTAGTGATGTAATAAATCAGAAGACTAATGTTACAACTTTACACTGATACATGATCACATGTTGGAAACAAAGGTGTGCAATGGGTGTGAATAACTAGGTGTGTCCTATAAAACAGGTTATTTTTCATGACAATAGCCATGTTACAAGCAAACTACAATCTTCTACTATATGTAATGGATGATTACATATTAGGCAACACTGAACAGCTGTATTTAGTACTTACTAAATACAGAAAACACTGTGATTCAAACAAGCGTACCTCTATATTTTGAAACATCAATACACTGTATGTACAAAATTGATTAAATCAGAAGAAATGTATGCTCAAATTTTGAAAAATAACAGTAATGTGGATATGGACAGTATAACATTAAGCTACCGGAGAAAATGAAAAACAAATATATGCTAAGTATAAGTCACCATATTACAATAAGCGGATTCCAAGATGATAACTTATCTATTAACACTTAGATAATTAATGTTACGTATCACCTAGCTCCTGTGACATTTGTTGTCCATTTGTGTTGTGTGTGTGTGTGTACATTTGATAAAATGGATACAAAATATGTTCACTTATGGCAGACGTAACAAAACTGGTAACCTATTCTATGCAAGCCAAGAAAACAACAAGATATCTTGAGCATGCGGAGGACTTTTTCACCAAATGGCAAATGTACCGTACACAACATTGCCTCTCTGAACATAGGACAAAAATCATGTTTGGGGTCAAGAAACAAGAAACTACAGACTAAAAAACCCTTGCTAACTGAGACTACACATCCCACTGACATTTGGGTACCAAATGTGTTAAAAATGAAAGCTATGGCGGCTGAGAGCTCTACACACTGCAACTAAAGAAAACATATGCAAATGGCCGCAAGCAAAACACAAGCAAGGACTGTCCGACACACACATGTAATGTGTTGCTCCAGACATGTATAGTAATTGTAAGTCGCTTTGGATAAAAGCGTCAGCTAAATGAATAAATGTAAATGTAATGCAGAAACACGATGAACACAAAACAACAGATGAGACAATTAAAAACCAGCACTACAGGACACAATTGTCTCACTCTGACAATGCTGGGATGGAGAGTAGTTAAAAAATCAATAATCTACCAGCACAGCTTAACAGATAATCAAAATATTTTAGTTTAAATAAACACATAGAAGTTTGTTTTAGATGTCTAATAGATGGTGAACACACTAATACGCTTATTAAAGTAAGATGACATTATAAGTCAGAGCCTAAATTCATACTAGGCTACAAGTCATAGTACTGAACTGTTGTAGGTTGTATAGGAATGTGCATCAGCATCAGTGTTTCTATTGGCCCACCATGCACATGAGGGCTTCACCTGAAGTGAAGAGGAGATGAAGCCAATGGGTTAAAATGGGTTAGGGGTTAGAAATCTTTACTCTCCATGCACACAAAGCTCCAGAGTTGTAAGATTTTACAACTGTTTTCACTGGCTGACAAGTTATACACAGATCCTTATGTGTAAAATCAGTGGAGTGTCCCTTCAAGGTTTTCCTGAAAATATGTTTTGGCACTTTGTAATGATTATTGATTGTGAGTTACACCACGTTTTACACTGTCTACATCATCAAAAATCACAACAATGAATGGGCTTTAGCATGGATACATACATACAGTAACACGTCTTACAATTGTTCAGTGGCTCTGGTTGCAGTTATCAGTTTGCATGAGGTGAGATGCAGAGATGTAACATCCATTTGGCGGCAGCAGCAGCAGCGGAGCACCGGGACAACAACAACTGTCAAACCGCCTGTCGACCTTAATGTTAGCTAGTACTGTCAATTCACTGACACTCACAGGCTGCGATTAAACTCTGGCGCGAATGCTCCCTAACCCCTCTCAATAAAATGCAGTGTGTCGCTTGCTTCAAGCTGCAAAGGTCACCAGAGCTCAGAGGAAACACTGCAGCCCCGGTACCGTCCGGTGTTACAGCCGGGATCTGGCTAGCAGGCATCGGACTAACACACAAACGTCCGTTAACGTAACTTACGTTACCTTCTGCGGATTCCCAGCGTCTGTACCGAGGCCGCTCAGTACAGAACCAGCCGAATATATCTTCGCTGTGTGGTCATACGAGTTACCGTAACCTACATGAGGATATCGGGAATTGTGCTAAGGTACTGAAGCCGTACTGAGGTAGCACCTTGTGGTTCACTGACGCCAATATTACACCTCAGTGACGTGGAGTCTCTTTTCCTCCTTCGTCTCTTCCGCGTTGCGACGACAGGCCGCCAGCGTGCACAGCGTGACGTCGTCGCCGCCGCCTCCTCCTCCTCCAATAGCTCAGCATCCTTCAGCAGGTGGATGGGGGGACAATTCAATCTCTCTTTGGCGAAAATCATCAATAAACCCACCCCGAGGTGCGCCATTAAAATCGACTCTTTTCATATATAGCACACTAAATATTAGGATTTAACCTGCAGCCTTAGGCTACATTGAGTGGATTTGGTGTTCACTTCGCATCCCTGAAATAACAATTTGTTCTCTTTTGGTATGTTAATATTTGGGCTCCATTGGATAAGATACACTTTATCAATCCGGCACATGGAAATTGAGGTATCATTGTAGAAATAAGTAAAAGATAAGCAACTTCAAAAAATAGACGGCTATATATGCTATTTATGCTAAATAAAGAATAAAAAGTTAATAAAAGCTAATAAATTAAGTGTTTTGTGAAAGGTTGAATGCAAAATCCACTTTAAAATATATATATAAAAAAAATTGCAAAGGGAATGGACTTCACATAGCAGTTGGCAGCGATATATAAATGCAGAATTTCATGACATAACTGTGTGCAGACAGCCCCAGAGCTTAGGTCCCTCTAATTTTTCATGCTTTGTTTTACGTGTAATGCACATCAATGCACAACTCCGGGAAGCAAATGTCCTTGTGAAGCTATGAAAAACTATAAAAGACAGACATCTTAACATACCTGAACACATGGACCTTTTAAAGAAACTAAAGATTAAGGTTTTGCGATGCATTCACAATGTCCAGATATGTAAATATGGAATATCCATGGTTAGACCTCAAATGAGCATTCATTGCATGCAAGACAGCATCTGTGAACTATAAGCATTCTGCAAGGAATAATGCAGAGGAAATCCTAATGCAAGAATAGAAAGTTAACTGGAATCAATTAATGTTTATAAGTTGTGATTTGTGCTGAAAAAAGTTTTACAAAGTGGTAACTACTGTAAGAGGTTGCCTGAATGTTTATACATGCCACTATGCGAACTATACAAATGTGTGAACATTATCAAGACACAAAATGTCTTTAGAAACACTAGTTTTATTTGATGAAATCCCCACACAGCAAATTAAAAAGTGTAGCGTTTCCAGGAATCAGAGCAAAGAACAACATTTCCACGTCTTTACATAATACACATACAGAAACCCACCACTTACACACCACATCCAAATCCTGTGGAGAATACACACAAGGACAAATGCACTGTCACTAATTTAGAGTTCAGTTGTGTTACTAAGGGGAAAAGAAACAGTCACAAATCAAGTAGTTTAAAATTCACTTGGTATCAAAGAAAAGCCCATTTAAAAACCACAAAAGTAAACTATAAACTCCTAACAGTGCAAATTGTCTTGATAGGCTTGTCTGTCTAAACTGTTCTATTCTACAGCCATCTTAATAATATTGCACACACATTTATACACACACACCTGTAGAGCCAAACAGTTGCTGACATGCTACGGTTTTTTTTAAAGTGCTAGCTTGGAATTAGATTGAGAGCCAGCCTGCAAAATATTTGGTTCTAAATGCATTACTGAAAAGCAGGCTAGTACGCATTGTGATTTTTATGTAATGTTGAGATTACAAGGCTTTTAATCAGTTTTCTATAACTACATACAACTGTGCCGTGACCCCGTGTGGAACAACCCAAACAAAGAAAACCACCACAAGAACATTCAGCTGTTTGTTCTGTAATTAACAGGAATACATTCTGTGATGGAAATAAAACAGTGGACTTATCCTGCCAATTCATAAATGCATAGATGTTTTTAAGGATGTTGAAACAGTCAATTTTAAAATGCAAGAATCAAGGTTTGTGACCGCTGAGGACAAGAGTGAAAATAACTGACAGCAACACTTGCGTGACAAATTACAGAAATCCAGTATTTCATTTTGAGACAGGAGAACGTTTCTGTCCGGCTAAATGTAACAACTTTAATTTATTAAATGTTTTTAACCCCCCAAAAATACAATGATGTGTTCCACACCTCTATAAACAAACATTTAAAACCGACTAATCAAACCACCACCACAAAAAAGGAGGAAGAAAAGGTTAGTACCATTTGAAAAACACTCCCTTGACAAAGGCAGCTGAACAGGGTTAAGATTTGTTTCCACCAATAGTGATACACATCTCTGTCAAGTCCACAAGCAAACACCAACTAATAAACATTTAAGATGTACTTTATTTAACTGAAAATAATATACTCTGGATTAATATGTACATGGAAGTTAAAATCAAACATTTTGAAAGATCAGCTTATTATCCGACATTAAGAGAAGGCGAAGATATTGAACTGACTGTTACGGACAAAGCTGCAAATCAAACCAAACGTTGTTTCTGTGAGGAAAGGTGCAGTAGTTAAGGTTTCCCAGGCCTGACAGATAGAGGTAGGTAAGCAGCAGGCCCCAATCAGGGCCAGAAACCTGAGAAAACACACACCGATTTAACCTAACCCTCCAGAAATCAAAATATACATGAAACGGTGCAAACAAACCCATGTGCAGGCACATACACAGTATACATCTACTCAAAAAACAAGTGTGGTTACCCAGCAAAACAGTCTTGTCTTCTCTGAGTTGATTTAATCAAAGCCAATCAACCACTTAGGTGTCTGTCTGATAGCCAAAAACTCCAGTGACATGCCAATATGCTACACTTTATGTGTCTGCACTACAAGTAAACGGTGGTTTTGATAGTAAAAGGTACTGAACAGTGTGTTTTGTGATAGCACTTTTTGTAAGAACCTGAAGAACAGCATTTTTTTCTTTTAAAACTGTGTTTAGAAGGCTGTTAGGCCACAGAGCGGTGTGTTGCAGTTAAGTCAGCACCAGAACCAACACGCTTTGGCTATTAGTGACTTTACAGCTGTCAAACGGATGTTGAATACAAATACACGGTGTTCTGGTGTCTGGCTGGTTTTGTGATGTTGAATGTCACATTCAGTGTTGTGCAAAACAGTGAGAGGCTTTTAAATCCATTTAACTACTCCAGGATTCATGTTTATGTTAGTAAAAGGTGAACGCTTTTGTGAGTGAATCACTGTGAGACATGAATGTGCTGTGTCTACATTTAAAGTGAAGAAGCTAACTAGGTAGTGATCAAAACGTGATTGTAAATTTTATCATGAGCGAGGCTTCTTTCATCGTATTGTGCAAAAACAGCTGAACATAACCATGACGAGGAGGATAAGTAGTGTTTTCGGCGATAAAGTCAAGAGTAAATAAGTAACAAGTCATAATGAATACTATTAACCGTTATAATATTGACACCAGTGTCTTTGATCAATCCAACAGTAAAAACACAGTATTTATGCAGATAAGTATTTCCATAACGCTGTGCAATGACACCAACATCTGCTTGCTAGAGCAAACTACATGAGCCATTTTCTAAAAAGAATAAAGAAAAAGGCACGAAGGCGCTAGCTTCAAAGTAGCTACAAGGCTCTCCCAGGTCCACCAAGATTACATCTAAACCTATGCTGCTACAGTTAGACAAATAGTTACAGAAAAGAGCCAAAGATCACAATAATTAATACACACACGCAAAAAAAAATAAAAAAATCTATAAACATAAACCTGGCAAAAGAGGAAGTGTAAGCTCAAAGGCGTTTCATGTTAAAAAGATTTAAAGTAGCTGCGGACTAACTTTACAGCCAATTCCACTACATCAACAGCTGATCATAGCTGGCAATTAAAACCATGTCAGATAAAGAGACTTTGGTATGTAGAGAAGACCTGTCACATACCATATACCAACCACTGATGACCTTTGTATGTGGACGCTAATAGTCAGTGGCATGCTCTTGTGTGTGGATCATATATTATACATGCCAACTCTAAATAGGCCAATCTCTGGCAGAGAGCCCATGGCCCCAATCGCATCTACCTCATCGGACCGTCACAAACAGCTTGGATTTTTCTCCGTTACCCTGTCAATAAAATCTGCTCTTGCCAGAACATGCCAAAGATTATATAGATGCAGGTTCAAATGCATCCACGTACTCCATCCCTCCTCAGAAGGTCAGTCTCTTAGCGGCGATGAACTCTTCCAGTTGAACCTTGCCGCTGCCCATGAGGCCGAAAGCCGGATACATTGTTCCTGAACAATCCACTTGCCTCTCGTAAAGGCACCTCATGGTGTCGGCATCGTAAAAATACACCCGGCACGCGTCATAATCAAGACATATGCCCAAACGTTGTGGCATGGGAAGCACGCGGTTGCCAGGGTCACTGGGCGGTGCGGTTGCTGTGGAACCGGAAGAGGATGAAGACGCCTTGGGGATGAAGAGTTTGCCCATGCCCAGGGTGAGGAGGGTGAAGGGCTGGGAGAGCTCATAGCATGCGTCCTCACTGCCGCTGTCATGCCCACTGTCATGGTCATACCTGTTGAAAGGAAGCGGGGGGGAGTGGGGTTTAAGTTAGGGCTGGGCAATAAATCAATAATGATAATTATGGCAATATAATTTTCCTCAACTTAGCATCAACTTCCTCGTCATCTTGTCAGTCCAAAACACAAGTTTATAATCAAATAAGACAAATTCTTCTCTATTGTTAAGTTTGAGAGATGTTGGAGAGTCATGTTAACCTTTATTTTATTTTTTTTATTTTTTAAAAAACACAAAGAACAGACAGAGGTAAAGTCAAACACGTACATGGATTTTTCCAAGTTTCCAAGTATTATCTCTATAAGAAACAGACTGGTTGAATGCTACATGCTATTTATCACCTTGCATTCATTATGTAATTACCATAGAATTAAAACGTATTTGCGTAACGTGTTCCTTTACATGCTTTTGCATGAGCTGATCCAGTGAGAAAAGGCAGGCTTTGTCTGTGAGTAAGCTCTTTACGAGTTTATACTGGTTCTCTTACATCACAGGATTAGATATGACTCAAACACACTTATCCCTGTACTGAGATTGTCTGTGTGTTGCAGTCAGGTATCTACAAGGTAAAGTTAATGAATTTGAACCATTTTAGTTACAGTTTTACCAAATGTCTACTGATTATTGACAAAGTGTAAATGACAGCTAGGTACAGAGACGTGAGCTTGTGCTTACCTTGGGCTGCTGGTATCTCTGGGACTATGAAACCATTCAAGCATCTTTGAGTCAGAGGCCACTCCAACTTTAACCATGTAGGAGTACGGTTCTACTTTGAAAGCCCAATAGTGTCTGCAAAACAAACAGCAATTACATTTTTAACTGCATTACTAGAAAATATGATGATTCACACTCATTTTCTGATTTGTCCCATAACATATCTGGTGCAAATCTTTCCTTATAATGATAAATTAACTATCGCTTTCTGAATGGAGGCTGAGAAAGATGGTACAGAAATGACAGTTTAATAATCCTACCACCTGCACTGAAGTTTCATCTCTGCTCCCTCTCGAATATTTTATATCCAGACAGGATGAGATATTGACGCGTAATGAGCAGGATACCAGTAGGCCTACTCACCTTCATCTTTTAGAGAAAGCCTTACTTTGAGGCTCACTTTGTAATAGTCATTTGTTCTGTCACACGTAAAGTATGCTGTTGGACACAACTTCTTTGTACAAAGTCCCAGTGTTGTCAGTTTTTGGCATACCTTCCCTGAGAGATGCCTGTGTCCCCAATTATGTAGTCTAGTCCGATGTAGCTGCCTGTCTGCACACGGTCTGCTGCAAGGAGGAAGGCCATGCCTGCTACGTTCTCCACAGTGTCCCGCCGCTTGTTTAGAATGAGCCGCTCCGTACTGAAGCCACACTTGTCATTGAACAGGAACCCAAAAGCTGTAGGGGCGAATGAGCCAGATGATAGGCAAATGTGAGGAGACGAAAGGACAGAAAGGGGGACAAAACAAAGGCAGATGAAGGTGGAGGAGAAGAGGATAACGAGACAAATCAGAGAGAGTAGAAGAAAAAACAATAACAAAAAAAAACACAGATTAAGATGAGAAGAAAACACCCTCTCGTAAATCCCACTATAATGTTATCTCCCCGGTTTGCTGGCGAAATTGGAAATCTAAATGCAAATCATAACTATGTTTCCTGGGATTGCCCTGTAATTAGAGAATTTTTTGAGAGGAATACATCATGCCTTACACAATTTTCAGATGTCACTAGCCCCTGGAGATTAAGACATTTAAATTTTTACTCATACGTCAAGAATGGCTGAAAAGAGAAATATTTATTGCATATATTGCTAGTAGCTGGTAAAAATGCTCTAACAAAGAAAATGGTTTCTACAGGAGAGCCCACCTAAAGAAAAGAAAGGTACAGGTAAGACATTTACAGAATGGAGAATATGTAATTGTGTCACGCTCGGAAAAGCTGGGTTAACTAACGCCCCACAGCCCAGACTTAATTTTTAAAAATCTATAAGTATATAGTAAAGACGTCACTTCTTTTTTGTATATAGTTTTCATTGTTTTTATTTTTCTGTCACAAGTCTCAAAATGGGACATATCGGACAAACAAATGGATTAAACTAACTTTATGGGAAAATGTTTGATGCTGAATGTCACATACAACTTGTGCAATAGCTAGTTCAATCCCTCTGTTAGGGAATAAACAGGTGTTGAACTGGGTAGGTGACAGGAGCTGACACATGAGGGCACTGTAGCACCATCTTAAAGAGCTCCACAAAGACCTACTTGCTATCATTGTCACAGCCTAATGGATCTAAATCCTCATTTCTTGTGCCCCTCATATTCCTCGTCTGGATGCAATTAAATGCATTCTATAAATAGTTTATGGGCCAAAGGCCACAATTAGCATAATCCAGGATACATATAGGCTGGCATGATTATGCCTGTTCACTCAGCCATCCTATGCAAACTAAGATCTACACAGGGGAAGACTAGCTAATTTGCATGTGTCTAGGGAAGTCCTTCCAATAACTAGGCCACAATGACAATAGTATAAGCACGCCTAAAGGGTGACCAGACAACAATGCTGCAGTTTTATGTGAAGTTATGCAGTATTGTTTCCTATTGTGGACTAAATTGTTTTTGTTCACTGACACAGACAATGTTTTAATTTTAATATGAACAAGGGAGAGCTACATCATTACATTGCAAAATAACCTGTGACATTTGCCAGTAAATGAAGCTACGAGTCATTTAATAAATGATAAAAGAAATCTGGGGGCAAAAGAAATTGCAGTCAGCAACTGTGAACCCCTCATGCTTCGTCATGAGTAGCGGGTGTGTGTGTGTGTGTGTGTGTGTGTGTGTGTGTGTGTGTGTGTGTGTGTGTGTGTGTGTGTGTGTGTGTCTCGAGCTGGAGCATTTCGTCCTCTGTGTTTTACTCTGGCCTGAAATTTCGCCGCATTACTGACGCACAGTGAATCTATCCACTAAGACTTACACGAACCAGAGAGCACAGGAATGTGGAAACTCCAATCACAACACAAATGACAAGGCTTGTGCAGGACACAAATCAAAAGCACAGCCAGGGAACGGATCAGGGAATGACATGTCATGTATGCAACATACTTTTGCAGGCTCCTGCATCCAAAGGACAAGTTGGTCAAAACTAAGTGACACTGCTACAGAAAATGCTCCTGCAAACTCCAGACTTTTACACTCTCTGTATGATCAGCGCAAGCAGTCAAAAGCGAGGAGAATGTAATGATTGTCGAGCAGGATATAAATAAAAGTCACAGTGTCCCTTACGGGGAGCATACGATGTGAATTCAAGTTCAGCAGATGGTTGGGGATGATCGTTTTTAATGAATTCCACCTTGCATCTGCCAGGCAAGCTTAAAATGCCAGCAACAGATGCAACTGCAGGTTTCTTTTCCAAGCTGTCCTGTTGTACAACACTCTCCTCTCCCACAAACTCAAGACAAAAGCTATATTGGATTCAGTCATCTGAAACACAAAAGCCATTACCAAGGTTATTAACTAAAAACACCACTGTGCTTCATTACCTCCATTGTGCATGCTACAAAATAAACAATGAAGCATCAGTCATTTGACAATCTTCCTAAAAATCGAGCCCGATGGAAACACTCAGACGTGCTCTGAGAAGTAAAAAGCGGATAGAGGAGCTTAGCTGTTGCCATGGCCAAAAGAGGCCCAATAACAGGGGATGGTTCTCCGACAGTCAGAAGCTTAATCTTGTACATAATAACAGCTCGTCGTTAATTAATGCACTTAGCATCAACATCAATCACACAGCCTCAATTAATTGTGTTTAGGGAAAAAATATATATATATATATATATATATAGCAATTCAAGTTTATGCACTTTTTATTTACCCATTATAACATTTCATTTTCAGGAACTCAAACATCTTCACATTACCACAACACCTGCTGTCTTTCTATTCCCTTTTGTATTTACACTAGGGCTGTACATAACGATTATTTTTCAAGTTGATTAATCTAACGATTATTTTTTTCGATTAGTCGGTTAATCTAACAACTAAATGTTGTTTATTCTGAAGAAAAAAAAGTAGCCTATTACTCAATTAACATAGCCTATCAATTTATCCTAAATAAATATCAAAAACATGTCTAATCAATATTTTATTCAATCATCCTGATGAAGCACATTAGAATGACAATAGCATATCTTAAAATGAATCAAATTTCTACATCAATGGTATGTGTGTAATTAGGCTACTTTATTTAAAACTTTATCTTTCTGACATGGATTTATTTCAATATTGAGTAATGCAGTGTGATAATCAAATGTATTTCTGCACAGTGTGGGGCAAAGGGGTGGTGGTGGCGCAATGGATAAGACGCCTGCCTTTGGTGTGAGAACCGGGTTCAATTCCCCACTGTGACCCATCCACCATTGTCTCCCTGAGCGTGACCTCTGACATGTATAGCAATTGTAAATCGCTTTGGATAAAAGCGTCAGCTAAATGAATAAATGTAAAGAAAACAACTGACAGGATTCACAGACTGTACTGTTATCTGTTGTTCTCTCGCTCATAAAATAAAGAAAAAGAAACAGCCGAACGTTAGATGACTCACGGTGTAACGTTACATTACCATGACAGCAGCAGGGCAGAAGTTACTTTTATATGACTTAGAAAATACTTTATTTTAACGGACTACGTGTCTTTGAGCTGATAATGTGCCGTGCTTGTGTGGAGACGGAAGGTAAACACGATTTGCAGTGCTGCCGTCAGTGCTCCAGGATACTTTCGCTTCACGTGTTCATGCTCATTCACGTATTCGTTGACAGCAGTTGTGCTGCAGTGAAGCCATTTCCAATTCACAGAGCTCACGGAGCAGCACGTTGTTGAGTGTCTCTCTAAAATACTCCCAAACTTCAAATGGTCGAAGGCGAGGTCTTGTAGCTGGAGCTTGTCCAGGGGAATCCCACTAACAACGGATACATAATTGACTACGTCGACAAATCGCCCCAGCTCTAATTTACACCCAACTAAAGGAAAGGCCAAGAACACGCATCTATCATAGGGGAAAACTTCACCACACGTCTCAGGTTTACCAGGTGCAGGTGGTGTGTGGAAGGTGACCTCAGGGCTGTGGGGGCTGAACATGGAGTTCCTGCAGGTTCGGACCCTGAAGGAGTACAGGCTGTTAGGCTCCAGGTCACACACCACGGTGCTGGGACCATACACCCTCTCTGTAGCCCTCCAGACCCCACTGTCCTCACCGTCGTCTTGGGATGGGGACTGACTCGGGCCCCCGAGTCTGGAGAAAAAGATCATCATAGTCAGTCGTAGAAATTTTTATTTTTCAGCCATACCCATGTCTGGTCTGTGGATCTCCTCTCTTGCATTATTTTTTCCCCCTTTGTATGTTTGTACCCACCTGCGGTATTCCAGCACGTGATGATCTGTAGGTAGGTGGTCATCAGACAGCCTCCAGCAGATTGAGGCCTCATTATAGACTTTGCTATTGGACAAGTCAATCAGAGGAGGGTCTGGAACTGGAGAGGAATAAGGTGGTACATGAAGAAATGCAAACCAAGGTAACCAGCTAGTAAAATATGAACCAGGGACTGGAAGACTGTCAACATAGGTCATCCTTCATCAATTAATTATGAGCTGATGTAAGTAAACAAGTAGACCTTGTGTTTGTCAATAAAAAAAGGGGTCTAAAATATTTAACAAAATCAATTTTCAAAGCAACAGCAAAAATATGATAAAATGCATTTTTTGTCAAGTTTTTAACACATATTGCACATGACAGAAGTTAATGCAGAACAAAATCTGGATTAGCAAGATGAACAGATCCTGTGCATAAATGAAAAAACTGCTATAAGCGCAGGGACATTCCAGTGAAATCTCTACAGTCTTAATCATGCTAAGTGCAGTACTTCAGCTCAATAACTTGGGTTTAGGAAAATGCAGCAGTGTGAGTGCAGGAAAGATTAGATTTGTCAGGATCAGGACTGTCCACTCAGGACAATGGACACAACTGTCTTGCATAATGGAGCCTGTTAAGAGGTTTTTACATAGACTCACTGCCAGGAAATGCACTTTGTAAAGCACCCCCACCAGCACCTATTCCTTCCTCTCTCCCACTTTCACCTTCCCTTCTTCGCAATATCTTCACTACCAACCTTGTCTGACCCATTCACACCGCATTTGTCTTGTTTCTCTCCACTCCGAGGTTAAGATTTAACATGAAGCATCAACCTGTCTAGCTCTCATTTTTCATTCATCTAAATACCAACAGCACCACTTCCCATCCGTCCTCTCAACAGCATCCGATTCGGTTCACCTTATTTACTGTTCTTTCAGCCTAAAGCTTGTTTCTCCAGAAACCCAGTCACATTACTGTAACCATGTAAGTCACTGACTTATCATTTTTTCCTTACACACTTGATTCTCTCCCTGGGTGAATTCCCCTCCTCATCTCCTTTGTAATATCCCCCTCTAGTTCGCCCTCCTTCCCATTTTCTCCAGCTTTTCACATTCCCAATCCCCCATTTTTCTAAAGCGCTTTCCCCATATAGACAGATTCCCCTCACTGACCAGTGTCACCACTGCCGCCAAGCTTTCTGAGCCTCTCAAGTCACTTGGCTAATCCTCAGTCTCTAAAGTCTTTTTCTCCCAAGCACAGCCCTCCTTTATGAGCTTGTGTCCTCTTATAGCCCTATGCGTTTTTCACGCGCAGATACATTATAGAGAGTACATTAGATGATGCAGGATGTTTCGGTTGCCATGCCTGAACTCTGCAATTGTCATTTTATTAGATTTCAGGCTGCATTTTGCTAAAAAAAATATGTCTTATAAGCCAACTCTGGCTCTACTGTTCCATACAAACAAGGCATTCAATACCCTAAAGACTTTCATTCCTTCCTTCTTAATCCCTTTGAGACAATTACACCTACCCCTCACCCTCATGTTAGAAGAGTAGCAAGCAAGGAAAGTAATGAGTTACCACTCGAAGGTGAATCACATACAGTCAACCAGCCGCTACACTGACAAATAAGATTTAATTTTTTCACCTGTTTGCAACAGATGGACCAACAAGCAAAACCAAACAGGGCAGTAATCCATCCATCACAGCAGGCAGCAATCCCTAGAGTTCAGCAACTCAGAGGGAAAAAAAGCGCTATTGATCACAGAGGACTGGCTGCTGCCAGACAGACAGCAGTAATGCCAAGTTACCCTGCAGGGAACCGCTTTGTCTCGTGTCCATTTTCATTCTAGTGCTCCCTCCTCCAACTTGTCATTTCCTTATAATCTTCTCACATACACTTTATGTTGTGCTGTAATAACATCAAGAGGAAGTTTATTAAATTAAAACGTGACTTAAAGTGGAAACAGTGCCGTTCTCAGCCTGACATTGAGCAAACTCCCTTTCTGAAATGGAAGACAAATGGGCATTTACATTGTCTTTCAAAGACTCTCGAGAAGCAGAGCATGGGGGTCAAAACCCGAAGCAGGGTTAACATGGGAGAGCACAAACGTGTTGTTACCCAAGGGGGGTGATATGACCAGAAAAACATGGACAAGCTATGGGCATGGAGCAAAATCCAATACAGCATTATACACCAGCAAGACTGCTACCAATCACATTTAAAACTTGATATATGACTGTTATTAAAAGACAATATAAACTGTTTTATCTCTTTAAAAAAAATTTACCTCAAGTTTTTGTTAACATCCATATAACTAAACTATGCGTTTTCAGTTCCCGGTGTAATGGATCTACAGTGTAAGAGCTTGGGGGTGCTATCCAGAGATACTTTATGGTTATACACTGCTGAATTATGTGCCATGACTTCAATTTAATTACTGCAGTGTATAAATGCCCTTACAGCTTCTTTTCTCCATCTGAGCTCAGACTAAGAACATCATTAACTCCCACATGCCACTTAAAGACACACAATGAGTGCCACCCAAGTGTTGTTTGCAGCACTTCCCCAAAAATGATGCAGCAGGGATTAATTTAGGTTACATTTTAGATAAAAAGCCCATTTTCTCCAGTATAGGGATTATAGGAGAGTCAAAAGACACAAAATAATGACTATTCAGTCATTTTAAAACAGTTCAGCAACAGTAAAGGATCTTTTTTAATGTTTTCCTGCCTCTCAGGGTATTGTTTATCTGAAAAGAAAACTGCAGAATAGGCAACAAATGAAATAATTTGGGAACTGGGTTGTAGATATTTTTCTACTTTGAAAAATCTTTACATTGTAACTGTTTGGTTTGCTCTTAACATATGCATTAGGCCTGGGCAATAAAATAACGATAATTATCACAATGTAATTTTCCTCAACAATATAACAAATGTTCAATATATCAATAAATGTTTGAATTCATTTGAATTACCTTACAGAAAAGTTCCACCACACAATTAACCATCTGGTTTCTTCAATTTTCACTCAGGAGTTAAAAATCAGCCTTTAAACTTGAAAGTAATATTGATTTGACATTTATCGTGCTAATTATCGATAGGTATGAAATTTTTTATCATGATAACACTGTTGGCCATATCGCCCAGCCCCAATATGCATTACTCCTTCTCATCTACAGTACTCGTCTCCCAGCTGGGTCTTCAAAGACAAATGTTCACACCTACAGAATTCCTTCTGTAACTCCTGACTTTTCCTAATTTCGCTTCACTTCAAGTGTGGGCTTGCAACATAAAACACTCTACTTTAAGAATCCAATGTTCATGAACAGACTAGTTTGAAAGCATTTCCTTACTCAAACTATCAACTGCACTGTAATTTGCAAGATGAATCCAGTTGTTTCTGCTTTTGATGATTCATACAGAAAGTGGTCCATTAATCTAAACAGAGCCAACCATAGCCCCAGATATAGCTCACGTCAATGATTTTCAAACAAGCTAACAGGGCTGCTCTCCAGTGCAGCAACAACAAACAACTCACGTCACTCACAGCTTTGTTTGTCACCAACAGTCACTGGGACAACTGTCAGTTGTTTCGTTGAATACACTTGAGGGAGGATGGCTCAGCGCCAAATAGACCTCAGTTTTGTATTGGATGTCAGCAAACTTTAATCCCTCAATAATTAATTTTTTTGAGTGTTAAGGTCTGGAACCACAGCTGTCACTCAGATCTAAACCATGTACTTTGAGGTTTGGGGGCATCATGGGAAAAGAGTCATATGTAAATGATAAGCTGGTCAGAATTAATTCAAACACAAGTCAACAGTCACTGACAAACTGACTGAAAGAACTGCCATAACTGTCACCATCTGCAACAATGATACTGAACACAGTTCTTTCCCCGGCTGCTGACACACATAATGTTGTCAGGTTAGACTCGAGCCATACCAAGAGGCATTTGAAACAAGCCTCGGCCAGACACAGCCAAATGTCACAAACCATCACTCAGTCATAACGAGTCTGTCTCAATCTCCAATCCCATCATCATCCAGTTAAGGCAGTAGAGTAAGCATTATATGTAGAATCCATCAATCCAGCTGCTTTATAACAGATGACGCCTCTGACTGATATTTCAGTGATTCCTTTAGACATTTTTGCAACCTGTTCAATTATCTGCAGACATCTGATCTTTGCTCTTGGAAGCTCTAATTGATCATTTGCTGTTATGTCCAATAACATTTTATGAACCTGCAAAGTTCAGCCATTTATCGCCTTTTGAGATTGTTAAAATAAATTCAGCAGAAATGGTCAACCAGCTCTTTTACAGCAAATCTTGAGAGGGTACAGCTATTAAGTTTATATTAGAAAAATCGTAGCACCTGCGCTTTGACAGTTGCTGCAATGTAATCAGCCACATGCATCTTCCTGTTGGCCAAGCATAGCAAAATCTGCTATAACTTTCTTTCTTTGGCCTTTCCCTCTAAATAATTTGAAAGTATGCAAATTCAGCACAAGAACTATGTATCCTTTCATCCCTGGGAAACATCTACTAGACATGTCCTTTATAGAACAAGCCTTTGTAAATCAGCAGACCAGAAAAAAAAGCAGTAAAATCCACCATAAGCATATCCTGGGTTGTTGATCCAATGTACAGTCCCACAGATGACCTTTGACCTCTTAGCCCACCACAGTTCACAGGCCTGTGTATGTGATGGACAGGCGATGACAAACCGCTTATTCTGCCCATAATTCTTGTTTTAAAGAACAGACTTATTTTGTTAAAGGATAGAGTAGGATTTCCCTAAAAACAATGTACACACTAACACAAATACCTCTCAATCACCACAAGAAGCGTGTGAAGAAGCTGTATCTGCAGAGACCCTGTCCTCTGCCTGTATTGTTATTATTTTGCTGTGTTTGGGACATTTCTGGACGTGAACCTTTGGGTGCGACATCGGGACTATAAAAATGTAGTGAAGAGATTAAATTGCTGTGTCCGACTCTCGCGTCTCCTCTCTTTGCGTCATGGATCCCTCTCCAGAGCCGGCACAGTGATAAAAGTGTGGACCAAGATCTGGCTATGCAAGCTGTAGGTCTGTACGTTTGTTTGACCGATGGCGGGCCTGAGCTACACGCAATGCGTGTAGAAACAAGTAAACAGCAACCGACAATCCCCCTCATTATGCCATAAACTTTTCAGAGTGGCAAAGCCCTGTATTATAAAGCAAGTTTTGGCATAGGACACATGAACAATGGCCTTCATCTTCAGAGACTAATAGAAGCAAAAAACGTTAAAATATTTTTTTTCTTTTTCCAGCCACTTGTGGACAATGCTCTCGTTGCAGTTTGTCCTTTAAAACACAGAATCTGTATCTGTGAGACATGATGTGTGAAAACACAACAGCACAAAAATGTATGAGAACAGTGAAACCTGTAAAAACAGGTGTCACAACAGCCTAAAAACATGTCAACATTTCATGATTCAAGTTGGGATGTGACCTTTCTTTCAGGTTTAAAGTCAAATTCTATTGATCCGTTTTGTAGAAAACTGTCACATTAAATATCCAGGGAAATAAAAGCCTTTTACTCTTTAGCTGACTTTCATTTTTAACCTCACAGTATTTAACTAAAATAAATTGGTTGTACCTCCACCAAAGCACATCTCTTTGAGCAGGGTTTCTTCTCTGGACGTGTCCAGCACAAACTCATCAAAGCAGGGGTCAGCTGAAGGGTGGAAGGTCCTCAGAGACTCTGTGGCCTTCTGGATCCTGAAAACATACAAGGCAGACATAACATTTATCAGTCTTCAAAGGAGGCTAATGCAACCCACAAAGTAAACCCCAAAGACACAAAATGGAAATAGTCTTAGTCTTATACTCTGTGGTTATTTAGGTAGTTGTATCTATATTTATACTGACTTTCATAAGTGAAAAAGAGGATTAAAAATAAGGTCCTTGTCAACAGGGGAAAACTGTAAAGGCATAGTGTATCATACTCTCAAGAGTGAAAAGGTTTTCTAATTATCCAAAGCTGCTAAAGGAGATCAATTAGCTCAGAGCAGGAGAGACTCCGATACACAGCATTAACTGGACAGAAGTGTCTTGTTTGTCCTTGAAGTCACCCAAACACATAATCAGATTGATGCTCGCAACACTAAAATAAAAAACAGACCAAATCCCATTTATGAAATCCACAGGGAAACAGGAGGACATGGCTAATGATAAAATGTGTATGGGCAACGCATAATGAGTCAAAATTAACCAACTTCAGTTTGTGACTGTGCAGCTTGTTAGTAAATCAGGTTTAGCATCTGTAATTTGTAATGAATTTATCTTTATCTGATAATCATTACTAAGCTGCTTAATTATTCATTTGACAGTTTACAGTCAGGATTTTAGCAGCGAAAGCTGTGAATAATGATTGCTCATGTCAGGCCCATCACCACTGACAAGTCATTTTTATGTATTATTTTACAGATGTAGTACAATTTAATTACATACATTCTGGTATATTTTTTTGAAGTCGACCATCAATAGTCCATGAAAAACACTGTTTTGATGCTAGCCTTTAGCTTTTGAAAAATCTGACCTCTATCACATGAACTTAAGGAGGTTGATTTAAATATATCATAACGCAGTGCCATAGATGCCTATACCTTTTATTGATTGATCAATGTTGTAATAAGAGACCAGCAATCTTTTGGGATTTAGTCTTTATAATACTGTGATTGTGTTACGCCCCAGAGAAGTTTATTTCCAAGTCTCTTGGATCTGTTTCTGTTGATAAGTTCAGTTCGGTTTGACAGTGCTGGTGCATAACTGTCATTCTAATTTTATTCAAATGTTACTGTGAGAAAAAACACAAATACAGAAATCTCTCATGTGGGGGAAAAAAAAAAAAAAAAAAAACACAAACACACAACCCACACACACCTGTTGAAACTTCAGTGGATAAGTGTGTGCTCATGTTTGGACCAGATCACACAGAATAGAAGCTGAGTAAATAAGTTTTCATAAACTGAACATAAAAATGCATGAAAGAACTTAACTTTATCTTAATAAATACATAATTCTTGACTTCATACCCATATTACTAAATATGGTTTTGAAAATGTTCTTTGGCGTAAACATCTTCTTAAATTACCCATTCATCAGAAAAGTATTAATTTACGTTCAATGTTGTAACAAATTATTGTCTGCATAACCCAGCTCTACCTGATGTGTAGCTGCTTTGCAGTCTGTACAAAGCAGGACTGATCCGTCTCTTTGAGCACCTCCTGAGCATAACCCACCAGGCCACTGTTCTCCAGCATGCCCTGGTACTCCTCCACCTGGGGAATGTGTTAAAAAAATAAAAAACATAGTCAGGCCATTTTAGCATTTTGGAATTCCAATCGTCAAAACTTTGTATTGAACAGCATGCTCAGAAATAAATCCCATAAAAATACGGTTGTTTAATTGTTTTCAACCCTAGTCAGTCCCTTCATTTGTCTGATTAAGGAAGAGCAAATGCATCAGTTATTTCTCTACAGGTAAGAATATGATGAGGTAATTCAATACAGTGCTGGTATTTCATACCTGGGCCTTGAGATGGTCCAGGCGTCTGTTTCGAGACTGTTCGATGGACCTCAGCATCTCCGACTTCCTCTCCTGCAGAGTCTCAAACAGACGCTCAAAGTGCTCATTGGCCTGACGCTCTGCTAGCTGGCCATTTTCCTGTAAGAAGATACTTTGTTATCAATTGGTACAAAGCAAATACAATGTTCTTTTCATATATCCCTCTCCAAATGCACACATACACCATAAACATTTCTTCAGAAGGTTCAGAGTGCAGAGACAGGTGATCAATTCTCCTTGTTTTCCACCCTTACAAGATTATTGAGGCTGAAGTGACAGTTTCAGCTTGACTGTATTCCACTATGTTGTTTTGTTATATTACATCTTTGGTTTGACAGAAGGTGGATATAAACACATAAAAGATACAGTGCAAGCCAGCCCTATTCTGAGGTAATATTAAATGAAGTAGATACTTAAAAGTTCACATTACACAACTTAAGTATATAGAGAGAAAGATTAAAGGATTAAAACAAGATCCCAGACATCAGTCACACATGCACACTCCTTCTACAAACACCGAATGGCACATTTGAACAATGCCCCTTTAGGACAGACATCAAAGTTAAAGGGGAACATGCTCAAAAACGCAGGAGGGAAACTTGCAGGCAAATACTGCGTTTCCTTGTTTGTGTGGTTTGCATATTGTTTCTTTAGTGACCTTCCTTATTTGTATACAGACAGTGTAATTGTTCCTCATCTTCACGGACTGGTTTTGTGAAAGCTATATAAATGTATTCTGTAAGAAAAGACTTGCAGGAATTAATACGCATATTCATTCTGCTCTCTGGAACTATTTCAAGGGTGTACATGAGTTGTGATTTACCATTTTTCTCACAGGGTTAGGAATGGCTTTCAGTCAGAGCCATTAATACAACTAATGAGAATCATCTTGGAGAAGGTGGAGTAAAGGGGAATAAAGAGCATGCTGTAAAAGTTTGAGTAGACCGAGTGAAAAGGGACGTTGGGGGTTGCAGCAGCATGAGTCAGCTCTCTCACCTCAGTCTTATTGATGAGCAGATCAAGCTCGGTAATCTGAGTCCTGACCTGGTCCTCTTTGCTGATGAGGTAATGGATACTCTTGGCCAGCTTCTCCTGGTGAGAGAAGAGATCAGCAGCATTTACAGTCCGAAACACTGAAGCAAGTCCACACTGAGATGACAAATAAGATTATAACTTACACAACAGAAGGCATTTACCCTTGCACCGCACACATACAAAAGTGCATTAACATATGTGCCATTTTAAGAAATGGAGTGGGACTATCAATTTTAAAGTATTTCCTCCAGGTTAAATAACATTTTAAAAAGTGCTCACATTCCCAAGCGTCAGCTCTGATGGGTCACAACATTTCCCTGTTATCGACATGCGTATATTGTTCTGTATTACAGTCTCTGAAAGGCTGTTTCAGTAGGTGCAGCATGTCAAATATTCTTTAGAGTAGCACAATGATATGACATTACTGTTCAAAGCAATTGAAACCCACACTACTTCCTGGCAAACAAAGCATTGCGGGACAACTGATACATCTTCCAACAATCTGAAGTACAATGCACATAACATCATGGGGAACAAATGGTCTCATTAAATATTAAGTACTATAGTGTTTGGGTCAACACAGGCAGCGGATTGAATTTCACAGACTCTGCCTCGACTTGCTGAACCACCCAGCATCAAGTCCACTGAGTGTTCATGACAACAAGATTAAAATTACTATTCGATATATTTCACCTACCTTGCTAAGGGTTTGATGTTCTTTTGTGCTGCCTAGTGCTTTCATAGCAACCAGACAGTCATAAAACATCTCCTGACATTTGTTTCCACATAAGCTAAAGCAAACACACAATCTGATTGAACTTAATTATACTGGAGTGGCAAAAATCTGATCAGCACACGAGACCCCAATTAGCTTTAATCTCATTAGCCAGCCTGGGTTTCAGTTTCCAAACAAAGGAGACCGATATCTAGCACAGGTACAGGTCAGACATTAATATTACAGCAGGAGATGAGAGATTCAGGGACCAGTCAGTGGGTGATACAGCACAGGAACAAACCCTGCTTATAAAAGGTTTTATATTCAATAGTTGAGCTAGGACCCAACACCTGTCCCACTGAATGTGGGAAGACGTTAATCAAAAGGCTTTTACCCAGTTTAAGGTTATTGTAGTCTAAATTTCAGATAACTAATCTGCCTCGAAGGGATCCTTATGTAAACTAAAGATATTGATCACATAGTTTAAAAAGAGTTTAGTGTCACAACAAAGCCTTGTAAATTGTACAATTTCAAACCTGCTGAATAACATCACAAAATAGTTGTTGTCCACATTCAAAGGCTGCTTTGATTGTCCATTAATCCATCTCAAGTCCTTGTTAACAGTGGCATTAAAGTTCATTTTAATCCTTATCATAAATCAATGTTGTGTTAAGAGTAAATTGCTCATTAGTCAGATAACAACAAACTGACCCCCCCCACACACACACACAGCCAATCTGTCTGAATGTGGTACCTTGAGGATCTTGTAGGCACTGCTCATGGAGGTGACCTTGTGGTTGGCGTGGGATCCTCCCAGCTTGCACAAGTGACACACTGGTCGTCTGCAGACCTCACAGTACATGTTCACTTTCTCCATCTCGTGCTCTGGACACATGAGCACCTGAGATATGTAATAGAACAACAATGTTGTAAAGAGACAACTGTACTTCACAGCCTTTTTAAATGCACAGTAACCAAAAACTAGCTGAAGTGAAACAGGAAGATGACCTACACTTAAAAAGCATCTAGGCAGCTCTCTGAGCCAAATGTGTGAAAATAGAATTTAAATCAGCACTTTTTTTACTGCCAAGATCCTCGTCAGCATTTAGCCGTTTAATCAACAACAGTTTCCAAAAAAACGTAGCATTGTAAGATCAATGAATCAGATTGCCAGATTCAGCAGTCACGGGACATTAATCTCTTACAGAAAAGTGTAATCTCTATAATGACTAACTCCTTATGTATTCTGATTAGATTATGAATAGGTGGGAACATGTGCATGGATGTTTGTATTGTATGATTTAAGCTATTAAGTCGACTAACCAGAGAGCCAAATACCATTAACAACAGACATTTCTGACCATCAATGATCAGGAAAACAAGACACTGAAAGATTTCCAGCTCCTTGTATTCACCTAAAACATTTCCCACATCTAATAATTTAGAGACTGTACAATGACAAATCTATACATGCCCATGTTTATTTTCGACTCATGTGACAGCTTATCTCCTGACAGATGTTCATAGTCCACTGAAGGCAAATCTTATTTGGGTGTCTTTGAGTCTTCAGGAAATAACAGATAAATAGAGAAAACAGAAATTGAAGCCTTCCCCAGGCAGCGACGGTACTTGCCTTGGGCCTAAAATTTGTGGTGGGCCCAACATACTCATGCTGAGCTTTGGGTGTGCCCCAGGGGTGGTGCAGCTTGAAGCACTCATTGCAGTAGCTAGCCTTGCAGTCCATACAGCTCTTTGTAGCCTCCTGCTGTTGTGGAGGCTTACAGATGTTACACATGATTGCGACGGCCGCACGCGCAGCCTGGCGGTAGCGCTCCACGATGTTCTCCAGGGTGAAGTTACGAAACAACATGCTGATGCCGCGCTCACCGAGGTCGATGTCATGCTGGCAGCCGGGGCATGGGATGGTGGTGATCCTAGGAGTCACAGACCCTCTGCGCCACCCCGGGGACGAGATGGAGCCTGGAGGAGGGTGAAGGAGGAGAAGTGAGAAAAGCTCTGCAGATGTGTAATACAGATTCATAGCCTCGAGTCACCCAGTTTCCAGTCTTGTCTGAGGCCTTATTTTAACATGTGAACAACAATGTCCTTCAACTTCAAATTACATTGAAGGGATATTTTCCAAGAGTTAACTGGGGCTTTGAAAAATGTTCAAAAATATTCTGGCCCGACTAACACACAAAAGCAGCATTACATCATCTGCATGAGCTGCCAAGTATGATCTTAAGGCAAAAAATGCCTTTGATAAGACATGGAAATGTCAAGCCTTCCGAAATAGGGCCTCAGTATGTCTCCCTTTGAGCTTGATTTCCACAATGACCACTACTCCATAAAGACATGGATGTATGGAGCAAAACATCGACACAAGCAATGTATTGAGCAGTCGTCATATAGGGAAATAAGTTTGAGAAGAGACACTTTCCAAGAGTACTGGGGCTGACTGAAGAGTGATAAGATGCAGGATAGTCATGAGGAGGATGGCATCCTTGGAGCTTACAGAAAGTATGTTGTATGGGAGATCAATCATACACTAAAGTCAATCAACATTTACCAACCACAGAAGTGAAGAGTATTAAAAGTGCTCACAATGATCTGGACAAAAGGAAATAATTTTCCTTAAATGAGTGATCAAGAAAATAAAAATTACATCTTAAAAAAAATAAATAAATAAAAATAATTCAAGCAATGTAACTGAATTACACTGTGTGAAGTAGAACTTGAAACATAAGTTGGAAATAATAATAATGTCCTTCATTTGAACTTTAAGATCACATGTCCAGTTCAATGCACCACTTATTTCCCCAACAGCAAAACTCCTCTTAAAGCACCACTGCTTTCAAGAGTTTCTCAACATTGTGCTTGTTGCTGATGCAGCAGCATCGTAACAAGACAGCAACATGAGGTGGAAATGAAGGAATTGTTACACAAGGTCACATCACAGACGCAAGCAATGGGGACCGTAAAACACAGCAAACTGAAAAACAATGCACGGCAAAATAAAAGACAGAAATATTGCTTCACGTTTTTGGGGGACAGGGGAAGCGAGGAGTGCTGGATTTATCTCAGTTTGAAAGCCAGAATTTCCACTTCTTTTCCGAGGACCTGAAAATTCAATCAAACACTCCTCAGGTAAGCGAAATACAGGAAAACTGTTCCATAACAGGACTTTTGCAAAAAAAAAAAAAAAAAAAAAAAAAAGTGCAGCTGAGGGAAAAGCAGGAAAAACAGATAAACTATGTGATACGTGTAGCTATGTGCATGCTGTGTGATGTGAGCAGTACTGAAGACCATGACAGTGTGGGGACAGTCTAATACCTGAAGGCTAGATCTCTCTGACTTGACAATACAGTAAACTAGTTTTGCCAAACTGATTACCCTTCCTACCTGAATTTATAAGACAAAATGGGAACATTGTGGTGCGACGTGATGATGGTGACATGGTCTTGTTAAGACACGTTAAGTCAGTCATTGGATGAATGGAGAAATCTGGCAGAAGACATTCATATTTAAACCGATGAATGATGCAAAAGGCTAGACAGTGAGTCTTTGCAGTGTTGACTCAGGATTTCTAGTCAGGACAGCAGGTGTGAGTAAACAACAAGCAGACAGAAGAGGCCTGCAGCAAAGTGTGTGTGCGTGTGTGTGCGCGTCTCTACAGAGGGAGACATAGTCGAGGGCAGAAACTGACCAGTCATTGCAGAGCAAAAAAAGCGTGCGTGTCCCCCGCACAAAACTAGAGTATTATCCTTGAACTGATGTAGCATTTTTATATTTCAGTCACGACAGAGATAAAGTTATACCGTAAACATGATTCTGTCCGCACATTTAAATCGTTTTTTTATTATATTAAACAAAAAAAATGTTAACACAGTTGAGGGACATAATCCATAGTGTTCAGGGAGAGTAAAGACAAATATGAGTCCTGTTCAATTAGGCTTATTGAATGTTATTTTACTATCCAAACATTTGTATTTTTTGTATTTGTACGACTTTAATTTGTATAAAAATCCAAAAAATAAATAGGAAATTCAGAAAATGTTTCCTCATCTCTTATCTAAATATAAAATCTGAATCAAATGTCAATCCAGTCTCTGAAAGGCTGACTATAAATAATCAGTTAGCTGTTGAATATACTTCTTATTTTCTTCTGTTATTGGTGGCACCATGTCTTCTTTGTTTAGTGTTATTCTATTTTATTTCCAAGTAGCTCCTAGTATTGATTGCTCTTTGGAGAAATTAGAATTGGAGGCTATTTCTTAAGAGAAAATTGTCTCTTCTGTGCTAGTCTAAACAAAAAAGAAAACATCCACTGAGCATATTAAATAATTACATTAGTTGGCCAACAAAACTAGTATTCAGTCTTGTTTTACTTGGCCAACAAACTGACACTTCTCAATTCATCATGCCCAAAATAATTAGAGGTAGGCTGAAACAGGTCTTTGTTCTTATAAGCTGTTTCTCAAACACTATTGAGCACACTCCACGATTGTGGAGTGAATAAACAGAACCCTAAAGGTAGAAACATATCAGTTGGTAAAAGCCAGTTAACAATCTTTGCAAGCCCAAACATATTGCAGGTTTTGCCTCAGTATGTGCCTGTTTAACTCAGACTTACAGTCTCCATCTCAATAAAAGCGGCTTTTACTTGTCTCCATGTTTTGCAAAATGAACGCAAAGCTTAGCTAGTGTACAGAGACACACTCGCACACTGAGGCGTCAGAGAGAGAGAGACACACACACACACACACATTCCTGTCCCTCTTCAACTCCTAGGAAACATCCTCACCCCTTCCTCAGTAAATTTATTCGAGGCTCATTTCAATTCCATTTGTCACTGACCAACCTCCCTGTCTAGGACTCCACCTCCCTTCGTTTCTCGTCTCTCCTGCTTTCCTCCATGCCTTTGCCTCCCCTTTCACTTATTTTTTCCTAAGCTACTTACAAAATTAAATACCAAAAGATTTATAAAAAAAAAAAAAAAAAAAAAAAATAGTTGACAATAACCTGAAGCATCTTTACCTCTTTAATCAGGATTCCCCCCCCCCGATAATTTTTATGCTCAGTGGACATTTAAAAAAAAAAGGCGTGCTTTTTTAATTATGCTTTTTAATTTCATTACTACTTTTTATTATACTAGCATAATGTGTCCAACAGTGTGAGTTTGTATGGTCATGTTGACAGGGCTAAAGTAGACTAAGTAGAGAAAAAGATAGAACCAAACTAGGGTTTCACAGGGGTTCTAGTAACACGGTACTCACTACTACAGTTACTCAAAACACGGAGCCCGCGTCTACCTCGATTTCCAAACGACCTTCGCACTGTGGCTGCAAGCAATGAACAGAGAAGTGAGGTGAGACCAACAAGAAAAATGAAACAATACATAATGTGAAGTGACCTGTGAAACTAGTTATTTTCATTATGATATTGGAGAAACAAAGCCAACTTAAAGTTAAACTGAAGGAAAACTTGTGGTTAAACAAAAATCAAAAAAATGCAGTTCAGAGTGAAATACAAAACATAATTTAAAATATACACATACAGGGTGTGAACAGTTAAAAGTACAATTAATTCCATGCAACTTAATAGAATTTAACAACTTTCAGAAAAATTACATTACTGCAAGTGTACTCGTCAGGCACCTTCAAGACTCTGGTGTACAATTTGCATTAAAGAATTAGTATGGCATTTGGGAGAATGAGCTTATTGGCTTTCTTCCTGAGACTTAAGAGGATAAGAAAACCACTTTCATTTTGTTACACTACATATGAAGCTAGACCCAGAAGACCGGTACCTTAGTTAAGTTAGCATTAAGACTAAAAAGCAGAGATAAACAACTAACTTGGCCTTGTCCAAAAGTGAAAACCTCCTCCTACCAGCACCACAACCAACCTTTCCCACTTCACTTTTTGTTACAGATTAATCAAACTACATAAACATGCTAATTCACCATTCAGCCTCCATCTTTAAATCATATTATTCAAGTCCATGTAAGGTTATTTGACAGGGTTCATGTTTCAAAATGAGTCCTCTAGAAACATTAAAATGTTAGCTGGAGACAGCATTGTTTAACCAACTCACAGAGCTAGCGTTAGCTTAATTAGCTGCTAATGAAAGTGGTCATTTCAGCCTTCCAAAAAAAAAAAAAAAATGAAGAACACAGCAGATCACTACAAATTTCAGGTGGTAGATTTGTCGCCGTTATCATTGTAAACTGCATGTGCGCCTTGAGAAAAACAGAAAGCTTGAAAGGGATTGCAACAGCAACATTGTGGTGCGAGACATTGAGTGTTTATGCTAAGCTAATTGTCTCCTAGATGTAGCTTCACATTTAGCGTACATTCATGAGTGGTATCAATTTTCAACTGTTGAGAAAATAAACAAATAAGCATATTTCCCAACATGTGTCCAACTGCTCCTTCAAGAGCAGTAACACCAAGTGCACCTGTCAAGAGTTAGCTGTTGAACATGAATGCACCATGCTCTGTTTGAGCCCCAGTAACATAACATAAGATGAAGTTGAGAAACAATGCTGATGGAGTTTTAGTAACCGCCTTCCTCTGTCCAAGCAAAGCGAGGCTTGTCCAGGCTGCACACTGATAAATATAGCCTTAAATCTTTTCTCTCTCTGCCTTCACCTAATCCCTCATTCATTCCTTACAGGCAGGTTGCGTCACCATGGTTGCCAATGATCTGATCTCCCAGTGTTGGAGACGTTCGTCAGAATTACTCGACTGTTCTGTTTGGGAGATAATGTGCTCATAACGTACTTCTAGGTTTCCTAAATATTCTTAACACACTGAGAATTTGTGTTTTGTAATCTGCTAATTAAATGCACTTAACACACAAACAACGTTAATGAATAATCCCCAGGGGAATTTCACTTGAAAAAAAACCTGTTCATAGTTTGTTGACTAAATTAACTTTTTCTTTAGGACAGATATAAAATTACTTAAAAAAAAAAAGTGCATTAATTCATAAATCAGTAAGAATACGAGTATAGAAGAGAGTTGTTGAAGGCGAGAAATTTGTTTACTCAAAAGCAGGATTTGATTATTTCCTGCGTCAACAGATACAGTCCTGCCATGAAGAATGAACTCATTCAGGTTGGGGGGGGGGGGGGGGGGGGGGGTTCACGAGCCCAGTCTCAGTGGTTTTGAATAGCTCCCAAAAAGTTGTTCACCTCACTGTACTCTTGGGATCTTTTTTAGCTCTGGCTCTCTGCTTTAGACTGTCAGTACGGCTCTGAGGCTACTTGGCATCAAATGTATCAGAGTTTCATATAGTAAGCCATTAATTAGACGTATTTGAGGACAACCATTCTCACTCAAGGAAACCACCTAAATCCAAAGTACACATTACCTGTAAGCTATAGTGTATGAACTACAAGTCTTTGGAGTATACTGTCCCCCCCCCCAGTCAGCATACAAGAAAACATCTTGCATAATTTTTTATGCTAATATTTATACACCACCATATTGTACCATTGGACATCAAACTGCAGCTTCCAATTAAACTTAGAGATTTATTTTGCTTTCAGTTGCTTCTGGAGCTGTTTTATCACCATCGAGAATAAGTCGTTTTTATTTTTTAAAACAGCTGCAGTTCCTGCACTTCCTTTGTGCATTACAAAAGCATATGTTAAATAGTTAACTTGCATATTTATAATATACATACTTGACTATACTTTGTTTTGTCACTTTTCCATTAGGAACACTACGTTCTCAAAAACATGCACAGAATTAGCATGTAATATGGAAGTCGGACACAACAAAGGAATGGACAAGAGCACAAATGAGACGACATCTTTATGGAAATGGCCTGCAGCCCAGAGCTCTCCGGAGACAGAAAGGCGGCCTTGTGTCCCACCATGCCGTTTTCAAGGCTTAGACATTGACCCGCTCAAGCTTGGCTGCAGCAATGCCATGTGTTTAGCAGAGAACTTAAATATTGTGACAAGTTAATTAGCTACCTGTGCAGCCCCCCTCCCCCCATGCAACTTAAAGAGCTTTCCCTTCTCTAGTTCAGCTTGGTTTTAAGAGTTTAAAATACCTTTAAAAAAAAAATAATAAGGAGCGTACAGGTGTGCTTTGTTCACTCATGTACATAACACACTGTATATCAGATTAAAGGTGGAGTGAAAATGGAAAACGATAGCTACTCTGCCCTCTGTTCCTGAAACATTTGTAAATAAATACATGAGCCCTTGCATGATTGAAGGGGATGTTCGATGCCCCCAGGCCATTAGAGGCAGACAGTGAAGACATTTAGGGCTTGAGAGAGCTTGTCAACGTTTTTCTCTTGGTAGACAAAACTAAAGCTTGTCAAGTTCCTCTGCTGTCTGTATAATAGAGCTTGTAAAAGCAGACAGGATTAGAGGAAGAGGTGATGACAATGTTATTGCTGAGCGGGAAACTTATTTAATCATTTTTATGTTTGTTCTCGTTTATTTAGGACAAGGGCTGGGAGGAGGGGTGGTATGTGAGCCACACTGAAACCCAGATATCATCCAATAATGCTTGGCCCATTTTTTATTTTGTCTTTCTCAGTTTCCATAAGCTTACTTGCGCTCAACCTTTAAGTTGCATTGGATAAATGTTTGCTTATTGGTTCAGGAAAACCTCTCCACAGAGGCACAAGCCTTTTTGTTTGTTAGGTAATTCAATACACCCTTCAGTTTCTATTTGAAACCACATATTTCCTCCTTCTTTTGTCTTTGCTATAGAGATAACTCACAGGCTCCAGACACTGAAACCTGTTGAATGCAGCCACTGAGATGACCGCAGAACTAAAAACTGAAGTTAAGGGTATTGGGAAGAAGACCGTGGAAGAGGAAGATGGTGTTACTGATACAAAACTCATATGGCCTTCCTAGGGAGCGATCGCCTAAGATGCATTTGATACCTGCATTTCCTGTATATAAAGATAGTCGGATTATTCGCTCCCATGAATATACTGCTCCTAAAGCCTCAACACGCTGTTGTGAAATGCTTTTAACCTTGCGATCCACCTCCCCGCACTGATTTGTACAAAATAAAAACCCTTCCTGTAAAGAATACGTTTATTTAATCTACAGAGAAATTAATATTTTTGGTTTCTTACCCCGAGACCCACCTGATCGCACAAGCCTGTCCAGCCTCTCCATGGAGGGGGAGGGCACCCTGGACCTGGGGCTGCCCGGCATGGAGCACTCCGAGCCGGCGTCAAAAGAGTCCTCATGGTTCAGCATCAGCAGCTCTCTGACACACTTGTGGCAGACGCTGTGCTGGCAAGGCAGGATCAGCGGATGGGTGAAGAGCTCCTTACAGATCGGGCAGATCAGCTCCCTCTCGATGTTCTTAATCGGGACCTGGTGATGGAGAGATGAAGATTACTGAAGCCTGACATATACTGACACTTATTAAACTATTTAGTTTTACAGTCAGGATGTTTGCACGAGGCACCACCACAACAGCTGCCATCCTTACATAGATATACAAAGATGACTTTGGAATAAAAGAACAGAAGGCATCCCAGATCAGTCTGACATAAGCTTGGCAACTTCAGTGTTTGGAAGCAAGGATACAGCTGCCTCTGATTTTTGAAACAATAACCTATTATTAGGACATTTCAGATGCTGCTAAAGTAGGCCCATTGTCTGCACTTTAAGCTGTGAAAAAAAGCATTGTTGCTGTGTCACTGAGGCTGGAAAATTTGTCTTTTAGGTGGGTAGATTCAGGTAGACTGATTCTTTATCCTACCTGAATTTACTTTGAATAAGCAATGATACAGTCACAATAACAGACTTCCACCCTGTCTTTACCATGTTTCTGATACATTATGTAAGACAGGATTAAGCCCGGCTAAATATAGACAAAACAGTAAAACACACGATTCCAACAGCTCACGTTTTAACATAATTTAAAAGACGTTTACAAAACGTCCCTACGAACTCCACAAAAAAACATAGCGACTGATTAGTTCATGGATATCAGGTGGTGTGATAAAACATCCCAATAAAGTCTATCCTCCTTCTGCTTGAGCAAATACTCATTTAGGAGCAAACGCCTCCGCACGTGTTCAAGGACAATACCCAGAAGGATAGAGGAAGTTTAAACAGAACAAGACAAACAGTCCCTCGAGCCTGCTCAAAGCGAATTGCTCCATTAAAAAAATAATAATTAAACAGTGACTCGAGTCAGAAATGAATGGACACACTGGCAGGTAGTTTAAAGCTCTGCTAATTGTGGCTAAAGTTTTTACAGAGTCCGGTCTCTTTATGTGCACGGCAGAGGAGCTACAGGCTGTTAAACAATGACGAGTCGAAAAAGCGTTTTTATCACTTTCCCAGCTCCCACAAATCTTCTCTCGTCTGCCACTTACCGCAAATGAGCTGCTACGCCTCATCTCTGCGGACATGATGCGGGAGGAAATACAAGCCCGTATGCGTTAGTTTTGGAAAGAACAACCGTATCCGGCGTTTTTTGTTGTTATTGTTGTTGTTCGGGCTAAAACAAGTTGTCGGACGCCGGCAGAAGATGCCGGCAGGGACGGCTGGGTGAATTTAAATAGAGTGACGCTGCTTAGGGAGGCAGCGCTGTGGTGAATCAGCAGCCAATTCACTGCTGCAGTGCACGCGGGCGGACCAAGACAGGGGGTGGGGAGAGGGAGAGAGAGAGAGGGAGAGGGAGAGAGAGAGAGGGAGAGAGAGAGAGAGAGAGGAGGGGGTTGAGTCTCCATAGGAGCCAATGCTGCCTGCATGTGCTCCTCGTAAACTTTATTGAAGTCATCAATCCAACTTGTCTCCCACTCAGTTGCTTTTAGCAGACTAAGGTGAGAGTCCGCACCATTTAGCATGCAGCTAAATCTGCATTGTCTTCTATATTTAAATCACAGTGTGCTTGAAGATAAGCTATAAGATAATAAAGTAGTTCAACTTTATTGCACTAGTTAAGTAGGCCCACTGTGATTTGAGAAATGCTAACATGAACATGCTAACACCAATTAAATTTATTCATAACAGAAGTTATCTTGTACTTTAACATTCAACTGTTTGCGATATTATCTACAAAGACCCAATGAGCAAGCACTTGGCACAGAGAGGCAGGGGGGATGCTGCCAAAGGGTCTGGATGCCCCTATTGTAGATAATACATGATAAGGTGCCCTCTAGGCTGCCCTACATGCTAGAAAATGTGTTCTATGTGCTTCTAAATGGTTAAATAGTTAACAGTTCCCTGTGTGTTTTGTTACAGAGGTGTTACTTTGTATCTGAGTTGCATAATAAAACAATTTTAATCATTTGGAACCATGAATGCATCTCTCTTTTCTGCCTGCTGGTGACCCACTGCATGCAGCTGGTGCCCTTTTATTTATTAATTTTTTTTGCCCCGGTATCTCAGACAGCCTGCGATCGACTGGCGACCTGTCCAGGGTGTAAGCCGCCTTTCGCCCGATGTCAGCTGGGATTGGCTCCAGCCCCCCGCGACCCTGTACACAGGATAAGCGGTTGACGATGGATGGATGGATAGTTTAACAAAGATAGGTACAAATCAACTAATAAAGAAAAAAATGCTGAATATACAGGTGCTGGTCATATAATTAGATTATCATCAAAAGGTTGATTTATTTCAGTAATTCCATTCAAAAAGTGAAACTTGTATAATGTATACATTCATTCCACACAGACTGATATATTTCAAGTGTTCATTCCTTTTAATTTTGATGATTATAACTGACAACTAATGAAAACCCCAAAATCAGTATCTCAGAAAATTTGAATATTGTGAAAAGGTTCAATATTGAAGACACCTGGTGCCACACTCTAATCAGCTAATTAACTCAAAACACCTGCAAAGGCCTTTAAATGGTCTCTCAGTCTAGTTCTGTAGGTTACACAATCATGGGGAAGACTGCTGACTTGACAGCTGTCCAAAAGACAACCATTGACACCTTGCACAGGGAGGGCAAGACACAAAAGGTCATTACTAAAGAGGCTGGCTGTTCACAGAGCTCTGTGTCCAAGCACATTAATAGAGAGGCGAAGGGAAGGAAAAGATGTGGTAGAAAAAAGTGTACAAGCAACAGGGATAACCGCACCCTGGAGAGGATTGTGAAACAAAACCCATTCAAAAATGTGAGTGAGATTCACAAAGAGTGGACTGCAGCTGGAGTCAGTGCTTCAAGAACCACCACGCACAGACGCAAGACATGGGTTTCAGCTGTCGGATTCCTTGTGTCAAGCCACTCTTGAACAAGACACAGCGTCAGAAGCGTCTCGCCTGGGCTAAAGACAAAAAGGACTGGACTGCTGCTGAGTGGTCCAAAGTTAAGTTCTCTGATGAAAATAAATTTTGTATTTCCTTTGGAAATCAAGGTCCCAGAGTCTGGAGGAAGAGAGGAGAGGCACAGAATCCACGTTGCTTGAAGTCCAGTGTAAAGTTTCCACAGTCAGTGATGGTTTGGGGTGCTATGTCATCTGCTGGTGTTGGTCCACTGTGTTTTCTGAGGTCCAAGGTCAACGCAGCCGTCTACCAGGAAGTTTTAGAGCACTTCATGCTTCCTGCTGCTGACCAACTTTATGGAGATGCAGATTTCATTTTCCAACAGGACTTGGCACCTGCACACAGTGCCAAAGCTACCAGTACCTGGTTTAAGGACCATGGTATCCCTGTTCTTAATTGGCCAGCAAACTCACCTGACCTTAAACCTATAGAAAATTTATGGGGTATTGTGAAGAGGAAGCTGCGATACGCCAGACCCAACAATGCAGAAGAGCTGAAGGCCACTATCAGAGCAACCTGGGCTCTCATAACACCTGAGCAGTGCCACAGACTGATCGACTCCATGCCACGCCGCATTGCTGCAGTAATTCAGGCAAAAGGAGCCCCAACTAAGTATTGAGTGCTGTACATGCTCATACTGTTCATGTTCATACTTTTCAGTTGGCCAACATTTCTAAAATTCCCTTTTTTGTATTGGTCTTAAGTAATATTCTAATTTTCAGAGATACTGAATTTGGGATTTTCATTATTTGTCAGTTTTAATCATCGCAATTAAATGAAATAAACATTTTAAATATATCAGTCTGTGTGTAATAAATGAATATAATATCCAAGTTTCACTTTTTGAATGGAATTACTGAAATAAATCAACTTTTTGATGATATTCTAATTATATGACCAGCACCTGTATAAATACATATAAAGCAACAGTGTCCGTAAGAGTCATCCTCTGGGGGCCACAAATTTTCAACAAACTTTCATGGCAAACCATTAAATAGTTGTTTAGAGTTTCCACGCTGCTAGCCTGGCTAACAACTTAAATACTTATACTTAAACAAAACAAACTACTCACAAATGTAAAATGAAGAGACAAGGGTGCTGCAATTAAAAAATAAATGCAAAAGCTTGTACATATAACAGTGTTACCAGCATGAAATACCATTATTGCAATCATAGCAGTGAGGAAGCTGTAATTTCTTTAGGAAGTAAAGTGCAGTATAGGGATGTTTGTGCTGCAGCTCAGAGTGAAGTGGGTGAAATGTCTGAATGAATCTATTGGCCAAACTGTGCACTGTCACTGAAGCCACTGCAGCCATCTTTAGGACTCCGCTGAATCATTCACCTTTCCAACAGTATTTGTTGGCAACAAACATTAGGGCCGTTGCAGCTCCACATTATCAGTCTCACTGGAGGCAACAGGTGTTCAATCCATCTCTAGATCTAATAGGTGCTTTCTGCCACAGTTATTCAAGTAAAATGCTTTACTTGAATATTCTGTGGTTGCAGCCTTCCCCTGACCTACAGGGAGTCAAAACACAGGGGAGAGGATAAGTGCTTATCTGGCTGCTAAAAAATCCAAATGGCTCTATAAAATTCTGCATCATTTTCAGAGCTGCATTTTCTGGGCATGCAACAAAACATTATAAAGGAGAAAATTATGTAAATATTATTTGACATATCAAAACTTTAATACTTAATTGTATGATATTTGGTGAATTTCCACGGACTATGTAGCCCTGTCCCAAATACGATGAATGTATTTTACTGTTTCACACAGCTATTCAGCATTTAGTGACACATTATATTGACTTTTGAGAACACTCACTCAACACAAAGTGTGATTTAAAAGGATATTCAAGGGCACATACTGTCTGTGCAGGCTCTTGTTGTGCTGTTATGTATTTTGATACTGTAGCGTATAGAAAGAGATGCAACAAACAATATCTCACTATAGGACCACTGGCATTTTAATGTTGCTTATTCTATCTGATCATTCTGACACTACAGAGATAAGACTAACCCTTGTTGCTCAAGACAAGCCTGATTACATTTTAAAATATCACTTAATTCAGCAACTGTAGCAGGCCACTGAGTAAATCACGTGTACAATCTGCTCTTTCTCTCTCTTCATCAGACACATGAAACACACACACAGCTCATGCATGCATGGATGAATGTCAGAGATTGTGTGGGAAGGTGAGATGCATTTCAACACATTCTGCCAGTCTGAAATGGTTAAAGACCCCCACCCCCACGCAGACACATACACACCTCAGTAACCCAGTGCCCCGTCTCAACACACAGCTGCTGCCAAGTGTCCCACATATTGACAGGAGTCTGTGATCTGCCTGCAGCACTATCTAACTACCAACGCACTCAGCGACTGAAGCCTCTAATTAAACTCTTTATGTTCACGTTTTTTTTTCTCTAAGAATAGAAGAGAAGCCTATGCCTTAAAGCCACAACGCCTCGACATAGAATTCAATAGAATAGACTAGAATAGAGAATGTGTGGGTTATTCATTTTTTTGCCAACAGAAAAGGGTCTATTAATTCTTCTAATACCTTAGAGTATCATGGAGAATATCAGAGTTAACACTATAATGTAAAATAATACAACAGTGCAGACGAAAATGTGAGATTATATCAAAACTTTTGAAATGTATAGTGTTGGGGTTAATATGATGTATAGCAGAGGCATACACCTAACATATTTAACAGGAACAGGATAGACTACACTAAATGCCTATTTTTACCCATTGCAATGTTAGAATAAATGATAGATAGATAGATAGATAGATAGATAGATAGATAGATAATACTGTATGTGTGGGTCTATCTATAGACTATTCAATTAATAGAACAGATTAGGGTCTCATTACAGTGTTATAATAGAGTGTAGAATAGAATTATGGGGAACACATCAGATAATATTTGAATAATACATCACTGGTTAATTTAATTGAACTGAATAGGTTTGGTATTCATATGATCAGAGTAGCAGAGACAAACACCTGACATTGTGGTATAGAATGTGGGTCTCAGTAATTCAATTAATAAAACAGAAGCAAACCTTTTAATACCATAGATCATGTTATAATATGCCTATCAGTGTAGTGTAGATAGTGGCATAATACTATGGGCTATAATGGGATATCAATGAATGAAGTTTAATAAGATTAAAACAGCTAGACTAGAATATATACTAGAATAGACAGGTCTGGGTTTGTCAGCATCCCTCTCTATCCCCTGACAACCCAGCAGACCGGCCCTGCGCTGCTGCCATCGGAGCAT